ACCCGTAAGGGCCCCGTGCCCCAAAAGATAAAAGCCCCTGGACTTTCTCCCAAAACTGGGCACGGGGGCGCGGGTAGGCCGAGGGGGCGAGGCAGAGGGGGGGGGGGGGTTCACAGCACCAACACGTGCCCTCTTGTCTACCCCGCGCGCGTCAGGGCACGTGGGAGCAATGCGATCCACACTAAGAAATGGGTCGCCTTCCCGCTGGCAAGCAGCTCTCGATTCTACTATCAGATCGAACAACACCGGTCGTGGGTTCTTCTGGCGAACCGGAGACACATCAAACACGAGAGGCCATCTATGCTCGGTCCTTTGGTGGAAACAATGCTCCGTCCTCTGGAGGACACGTGGTCAATGGTCGAACAACAACAAGGTCATGAAACACACGAGTACTACCCCCCCCCCCACACACCCCGCTCTCAAGGTCGCGTGGTCAACCGTCTACCAATGGTTTACAACAACAAACAAGGCATGAAAAACAACAATACCCCCCCCCCCCTTCCCGCCCCCCTCGGTGTTTGCCATCGGGGTTGGGTTTTCGTCGCTTGGCAACGACGTTGTAAAACAAGCCGCCCCCCCCGGTGTTTGCCATCGGGGTTTGGGTTTTCGTCGCTTGGCAACGACGTTGTAAAACAAGCCCCCCACTCGGTGTTTGCCATCGGGATTGGGTTTTCGTCGCTTGGCAACGACGTTGTAAAACAAGCCAATTCACTTCGTGAACTCGACAACCAGGTTACCGTTTTTTTTTTTTTTTACCTCGGTTTTTTTTTTGGCGGTAACCATAGTGGTGGTCGAGTAGATCATGTTGTTCGGGGTCGAGAACCCTCACTCCGCGCAACGGGGGATGATCGCACCACGTTGTGTTAAAATGGTCAAGCTTCCTCGAGGCAGTTACACAGTGCTTACAACTGTCTCTGGAAGTGAAAGCACCAGAAAATAAATTAAGTCATACGTAGCTGTCATCCGTACGCAAGGAAGTAAGCACAAGATGCCGAACACCCTTAGCAGGATGCAGCTCACCCTTCATGCGACTCGCCAAATACCTCACGGCGCTTCGCGCTTGGTGATGTGAGAGCCTGGTCCGGTGAGAACCCGGCGTGCTCCGTCCCGGCTTTGTAGGGATGCGAGGTCAATGGTCAAACGACTACGGCATGCACGACTATGAGTACACCCCCCCCCCCCCCCCTGTCCCAAAAAAAAATGCGAAAAAAAAAAAAAAAAAAACTCCCCACCCCCACTTCGAAAAACCAAAAACCCCCCTCTTTTCCAAGGGACTTCACCA